ATATTGTGTTGAAATATATTGATTGAATCAGTTTAAATTGGGAGACAATTTTTATTTGCATGGAATTATGGTGAGTATTTTGTGCATAAGACACCAAGTAAAATTTATATAATGTAAGTCTAAGGGAAAATGAGACTTGACTTGGGGACACTCTTGATACACCATTACGTCCGCATCTTGGGGATGGGTCTCACTGTATTACGTACATGTGTTGCTAGTGATTCATAAATATATACAGTATAGCTTTTTGTCTTGCGAGAAGTTCTTTGAAGTTTTCCCGTGGACGGGAATCCCATCAGTGTTGATATTCCGAAAGCACCAGAACATGTGCCACGGTCGTTTCGGAATAGTTTTGCTGGTCACGAGAGACAGACGGTTATTATTATTTCTTTCGTGTGTGGTTTCTACGTCATTGAATATTAAAATACAGTACTGTTTTCAAAGTTCTTAGAAATTTTATGCGAGTTGTGGCGCTGGTGGGCGGGGTATTTCATCCCTTTTGAAATCCATTGATTAACTGAATTATATTTTATTGTGGTGTTAGTTGGGGGGTAGAGTTCGATTCAGGCGACACCTATGTGATTCAATTTTGGGATAGGATGAGTTGGAGGCGTGGCTTCTTGCGTCTTGGAAAAATTGAGTTGAAACTCCGAATCGAATCTTTGGAAGTCTTTCGTGGCTTTTGTAGTGCCATTAATGGTGTAAACTGTATAAAAATTCCTGGAACGGAATCTCATTGTCATACTTTTGTGCCTGACAGGATTTTTGGCTTCAGGCGACACCTATGTGACACTATAAAGATAAGTTTTCTCTCGTGTGTTTACCGTAGTTTTTTTTTTTACTTTTTATAAAAGAGATTTGTAGGATTCCTGCGGTGGAAAACTTGAGTTCCGAAATAACTTTTCTCAAAGTTACTAGGAAATTTCTGGACCCATGTTTCCCTCTGACGAACTGACGCAAAATTTTTCTAGAGAAGTATTTCTTCATGTTAAATAATGATTTGTTCTGTGCGTAAAAAAATAAATAAAGAATGGCGTATCAGCAAAATTTTCAATTTCGATGTAGGGAATAAATGCGTTGGGCTCCTGAAGATCTCCGTTTCAACTTACCAAAAAAAATTCTTTCCTTCCCTTCATTGCAGATGAATCATTATAAAAATTTGTGGGAAGAGGTTTTCCATTCAAAATCGTCGGAATTTTCTGTATGAGGTCTCTTTTAACTCCATGGTTGGAAGATCTTGACAAAAAACAAGAGAATAACATAAATCAATTGCTCTAAGAACTTTTAACCATTCTTTGCGTCAATGAACCTTCACATAAGTTGCAGAAACAAATTGTTTGGAAAAGTTCCTTCAAATGTTGGGGTATTGTTTACTGTTCTGTTTTAAACGCCATAAATTTAACTCTTTCAGTTGAAAATATAACTTGAAAGGCAAAAAAAGGCCAGACCAGATCAAATTGCGGGGCAAGGGTTGAATTGCAAATTCAGTGGAATTGCGAGGTACCACCCGTATTTTGTATTTTTCTCTAATGTTATTTTTTTTAACGTAAAATTTGTGAACGTTTGAAGGATCTTGACTGAAACATCCAAGTAACCCAAAGATCTCCATTCCAAGTTGTTGGGAAAACTTTTACCCATTTTTCCCGTCAATGAATCTTCAAGAAACTTGCAACAGTAAACATATCTCGAGGAAAACGTTAGTTTATATCGTGGGGTCTTCTGTGCGGATATACGAGGGGTCTAACAAAAGTTCTCGGAATATAAATGAAAATGGCGTATAATCGAGCTGGGAAAAAAATTATTCATCAGGGAAAACATATTCTTTGGCCAGAAAAAAAAATCAGCCCTGTTTGACAAATTTTTGTGTGAATTTTTTGCAAAATTCATCCTGCAAAATCGAGCTGGGAAAAATTATTCATTAGGGAAAACATATTCTTCGGCCAAAAATAAATCAGCCCTGTTAGACAAATTTTTTGTGTGAATTTTTTGCAAAAATCATCCTGCAAAATCGAGCTGGAAAAAAATTATCCATTAAGGAAAACATATTCTTTGACAAAAAAATAATCAGCCCTGTTCGACAAATTCTTTTTGAAAGTTTTGCAAAATTCACCCTGGCAGAGTTCTGCTCTCAATTCAAAAGATGAGGCGCCCTTCCTGCAGATTTCGGCGGCTGTGAATGAAAATGGCGGAATTAAACTTGGAAGACCTGGGGGCAACCCTTTGAAATAATTCCACGTTGATTTCAAAGAATTCTGAGGGGAAAGCTGGGCCAAAAAAATAACTGCAGGAAGTGTGCCTCATTTTTTGGTTTGAGAGCAAAACTCCACCAGGGTGAATTTTGCAAAAGATTAAAAAAAAATTCAAATAGGGCTGATTTTTGTTTTGTGCCAAAGAAAATATGTTTTCCCTAAAGAATAATTTTTTACAGCTCGAATGTTTCTCAGCTCGAACCAACATGAATGTTTCTTTAACCGGAGAAGAAAAAAAAAATATGTATACGAGGGTTCTAACAAAAGTTCTCAGAATAGGAATGAAAAAGATACGCCATTTTAATTTCTATTCCGAGAACTTTTGTGAGAACCCTCGTATGCATATTTTTTTCTTCTTATCCGCTTAAAGAAACATTCATGTTGGTAAACATTTCCGCAACTTCCTGAAGCTGCTTATTTTTCTCTCTGGGTGCTTCATTTTTTTATTTATTTCTTAACCCCAAGACAAAAATGGAAAGCAATGAAAGCACAGGTATGTAGCAAGAGCAGAAGAGCCCTTTTGAAGTTTTCTCTCGCCGACGTCTCTCTGGAGACGCGTTTCCAATTTCTCTTGCCATTACTGTACTCTATACGAACCCCTGCCTCGGGGCTGAGATGTTTTCTCCCCAGGAGATTAACAATNTCAGACCAGGTGTTCCCAACCTGTATTTCTCAGAACCCAGAATGTTTTTTTGTGTGGAGTTCCCATGTAGGCTTTGGTCACTGTGCATGTTGAAAGAAGAAGAAGGCAGAATTGGAATGATAGCCGACTATTTTATTGTGCACGAACTCTTTTTGTCAAGTGCATGAAGGTCGATGTTGAAGCGATTGGCCGTAAAAGTTGATGTATTTTTAATGATTTTTTTTTTCAATCCTCGTTTTGCGTAAGAAGTCTGGGGATTTAAAAAAAAATCAGGATGAGTGTTTTCCTCATGACGGCGTAATTTAAATTTTAAATTTGTCTGTATTTGATTTTTTACCCTCGCAAACGTACAAGAAAATGTGTATCCCCAACAAAAGCCAAGTTTTCGAAAAATATTTTGATTTAAAATCATCGTTGAAGTCATGAGGTTTCACTTGTTTCAGGCGTTCCTATTTTATTTGATTTATGTGCAAAACAGTATGATTTCATTGGCCATTCGAAATCCGAACACAAACATTCGCAAAATTCGGGAATAAAAGCAATTTGGTTCCCGACGATCTTGTCAAAGCAAGCGCGAAATAATTATGAGCAGACAGTCAGTGTGTGTTTAAAATTATCCAAAATACCATATAGTATTTCAATTCCAATTGCGCAGAAACCGGACAATCATAATGCTTACAAGGTAATACTGTACTGTGTATTTCGCCACGAATTAGCCGACTATGAATTGGTATCAGGCAAAGTGTATTACAGATTTTAAGCTGCAAAAAAAAAAAAAAATTCCAGATGCAAGAGACATTTGAGTGCTGAGGCAGTTACCCAGCCTCGGAGGGAATTCAATTTAAAGTGCAAATCTACATTTATGGCTGCAATAATGAAGGAAGCTGGAGTATCCTCACTCTTTGGATGTTAAAAGAGGGCTTATTATTTTCTCTGATCACAGGTATCAAAAGGCACAATCAGCAAATGCAATTTGGCATTGCTGGAATAAAAATAAAATTAGCAAAGGAAAATGTGCTTTGCATTTGGCGCAACTCAAAATGCGCAAAATTCCAAAGGGCATAGCTCTGCCAATTTTTTGGTTAACAAAAAAATTTGCAAGGTCTTAATTTGAAGCTAAAGATGCTCTCTAACTTTTTTTTAATCATATAGAAATTGATCCAACTGATGCATTGTGAGATATTCTCACTTTTCAAAACCTAACTTTTTATTTGGTGATGAGAATCTGGAAAACCGTCATGCCAGATTCTAGTCTCACTGATTGCACAAGCTTTTGGTACAAACAGTGTCTTCAAAAGCCTTGTTCTCTAATGCATGAATGCATTTATTTCTGCAACAAATATTAACAATTTCCTCATGAATATTTCCCATCATTTCTAGTCTCACTGATTGCACAAGCTTTTGGTACAAACAGTGGCTTCAAAAGCCTTGTTCTCTAATGCATGAATGCATTTATTTCTGCAACAAATATTAACAATTTCCTCATGAATATTTCCCATCATTTTTTCCCCGCAGGCAAAGATCTGAGCAAAATAACAATGCCAGTGGTCTGGAACGAACCTGTAAGCATTCTCCAGCGCTTGGCGGAGTCCATGGAATATGCGGAGCTTCTGAAAACTGCAGCTGAACAAGATGACCCTGTAACTCGGATGGAGGTACTGTATAGTAACATTTCAAGTACATTGTCAAATTAATCCACATTTCTTCAGCTCATTTTTTCCTCCAATTTTTTGGTTCATTTTTGTGGATCCCGCGGCGAGCATAAAACACACGATCTCATTCAAATGAAAATTCCAAAATTACTGGTGAACCTCAATAATAACTCGAACCTCCCTAAGTCGAATTTTTTTCAGGTCCCCATCTGAATCCCCTTAGAAACAATACATTAAGAACCTCCCTAAGTCAAAAGCTTTTCCCCTCAAACCTCCATAAGTCAAATTTTTTGTGGCCTGTTGGCCATTATTTTCTTGACCCAAGAAAGAAAAAAGGAATAAAAATAGAAATTCATGTGTTTTACAGGAAGTGAATCTGATCTGAATCCCCTTAGAAACAATACATTAAGAACCTCCCTAAGTCAAAAGCTTTTCCCCTCAAACCTCCATAAGTCAAATTTTTTGTGGCCTGTTGGCCATTATCTTCTTGACCCAAGAAAGAAAAAAAGCAATAAAAATAGAAAATCATGTGTTTTAAAGGAAGTGAAAGACTTAATTGGGCAAATGAACCCCTGCCTCCAAGTTCAGAAGCCTTTCAACTCATTTAAGAATACATTTAAGCCCCAGAATATCACCATTTACATTTTTTCTAAGTTTCCCTGAAGAATGTGCTTCGTATTGTAGTTCAAACCTGTATAAGTCAAAACCTCTCCGAGTCGAATATTTTGCAGATCCCATGGAATTCAACTCAGAGAGGTTTGACTGTGTTGTCAGTGGAAATAATTTTGCATACTTTGCTTAGCTGTACTGAAATATATTTTATTTGAACCTTGCGCAAAAGATAATGTTTGTATACTGCATTTTTGGATTTTAAAATGTGAAGAACTCATAATTGTACTCGAAGTTCATGAATTTTTTGTAATTTTTTTGAAGAAAAGAAAAGGGGTTGTCAGCTGATTTATTGACTTCGGGCAATTGAAAATCGCTTGGCACTCTTTTTGTGCTTTTAAAAATCAAGCTATTCGTTGCCATGGTGTATGTGAATGTGTAACAGAAGTTCTTTGTAACTCAAGTGAAAAATGTCAAGATTTGTAATACAGTATCAAACCTTCTGCAGTGACACAAACACGAGTGAATTCTGCTGAAAATTGAATTGAGTTTTTTTCTAGTAGGATGATGAATGTTGGTCTCAGCTCAACCGGAAAATTAGAAAGAAAAATTAAGAAGTCCCATGGTCTTGTTTATCAGTTTAGTAATGGTTGAAATTGAAAAGTCCTTCCAGTACCGTGAAATTTCAAAAGATTATTGGCTTCAGCAGAAGAGCTATTTTTACTCACATTCATCCTCTTCAAACAATTACACTTGAGTGCTGTTAAGCATTGAGGATTATATGTACAATAAACTGCTTTCAACCCCAGTTATTTTTCGTGATTTCCTGGTTTTGTGAAAATGTCAACAAGATCCCAAAAATATAATGGCCACATTTCTGTATTTAAAGCATTTTAAAATTTACGAGTATGAATTTACTTGGCGCCTGGTCATGTATTCATTACTCGGTGTTTCGACACTTTTTGAGGCAAAAATGGTGTGTTGGAACCTTTTGGTTTTTTTTTCTACTCCGTAACTTTTTCGAATTATTTTTCGTCTGGTACGAGGAAATAGTCGTTTAACTAAATTTTTCGCGGAACTTTCAATAATTACTCCTGCTTCAAAAGCTTTTGAGGCGAAATTCTTCTTGTATGCAAATAAAGAGACTGTATTTACATCCGTAAACAGGCAGCATATGAATGTGAGGTGAAAATTACCTTAGGAAATCCTGCGCAACACTTCAATATTTTCAATTTCAGAAAATGTAAAATCAATATTTTTCAACCCGAAAAAGGCAATCTTATGTAAGAGTATGTCACATGATTGATTCAGCATATATATATATATATATTTTTTTCCTCGTGACGTGTAACGCTTGCCTTGAAATATCTTCTTCGGTAATTTTTTGTTCTATGACATTTTGCTTCTAATTATTTCGTAACCTCTTTTTTTTTTTCAGTACGTTGCAGCGTTCGCAGTCAGCGCCTTATCCGGAAACTGGGATCGTCTGATGAAGCCTTTTAACCCGCTCCTGGGGGAGACTTACGAGCTTGAAAGAGATAATTACAGGTTAGAATATGTTATACTCTTTTTTTTTGTGGAAAATTATATTTTCCTCCAACTGTGCAAATAAATGAGCGCCACGGAAGTAAGAGCGCCATCTGGTGTTCAAAAGGGTGTGCGAACGGATGAGGGACGGAAATTGATTTTATTGGAATGAAATTTGGCTTATTCTTGGCATTTTCAGAATATTTTCGAATTTGTTTTCCAAACTCCCCCTGACTTATGAAGATGTTCTTGGAGGTGCCCGGTTTTTTTAAAACCATTTATAGATGTCATTTTTGATCATTTCAGCAGAAAGATCACGACTTATTTATTGCAATAATTTTGAACTTCACCTCTTGAAAAAAAGATTACTACATAATGCTAAGAAACCACTTGTTTTCTTCACCATCATTAATAAATCACAATAATCACCATTTGGACTAATGAATGTCAGTCACAAACCCACAGCTGGGATAATATTGTGCAGTCTGCTCATGACAGGCTTGTTCATCAGCAGATTTCTCACATTTTAAAATTTTTTTCTGTAGATTATTATGTGAGCAGGGTCTATTAACCAGTTGTTGTTCGCGTGATTATTATTTTTTTCTGGAAAATTCAAGTACTGTACAATTTGAACTCTTTTCCCAATTGCAATTCCAATGAATTTTCTAGATTTCATTGCACCATTTCAAACACAATAATCACCAATAGGAAACAACCCCACAACTGAAATAATATTGTTCAGTCTGATGATGACAGGCTTGGTAATCAGCAGATTTCCAGTTTTGTTCCTCCCCTTTTTGTTGCATGCTTTTGGGTAAATTGGATTACTAATTGCGCAATTGCAATATTTTTTTTTTAAATAAAATTGTATACAATTGGAATTCTACAAGGTTATACAGTAATACCCCAATTGCAATCCTCATAATTTTCCAAATTCATAAATTTCCAAATTTGTTTGCCCAATCCCAATGCTCACCAATAGAACAATTGAACTTGGTCAGTCACAAGACCCACACAAACCAAAGCTATAGGGTATTATTTCAAATTTGTTTAAAAATAAAATATTATGAAATTGGAATCCTACAAGGTTGTACAGTAATACCCCAATGTAGATTCCAATAAATTTCCAAAATTGTTTGCCCCATATCCCAATCAATATACCCATCAATGTGACAACTGAATGGTCAGTCACAAGACACACACAACCCACAACTAGGATAATATTGTTCAGTCTGATGATGACAGGCTTAATAATCAGCAGATTTCCAGACTTGTTCCTCCCCTTTTTGTTGCAGGCTATTGGGAAGATTGGATTACTAATTCCGCGATTGCAATACAGTACTTTTTTTTTAGAAAATTTTATACGATTGGAATTCTACAAGGTTATACAGTAATACCCCAATTGCAATCCTGAGAAATTTCCAAATTTGTTTGCCCAATCCCAATGCTCACCAATTGAACTTGGTCAGTCACAAGACCCACACAAAGCAAAGGTAGGTTATTATTGCAAATTTTTTTAAAATAAAATATTATGAAATTGGAATCCTACAAGGTTATACAGTAATACCCCAATGTTCATTCCAATAAATTTCCAAAATTGTTTCCTCCATATCCCAATCAATATAGCCATCAATGCGACAACTGAATGGTCAGTCGCAAGACTCACACAACCCACAGCTAGGATAATATTGTTCAGTCTGCTCTTGACAGGCTTGTTAATCAGCAGATTTCCCAACTTGTTTCTCCTCTTGTTTTTCGTTTTTTTTTCTGCAGACTATTGGGCGAGCAAGTGAGCCATCACCCGCCCATCAGCGCCATGCACGTGGACCACGAGTTGTACACGCTAACTGGTTCCACACACCCCAAGCTGCGTTTCTGGGGCAAATCCGTGGAAATCACGCCGAAAGGAGTTTTCACTCTTTTCTTCAAAAAGTGAGTAACAATACCCATGCATATATTCTTCCTTCTTTATACAGGTGGACTCTATCTGTCTCTCTCTCTAGAACGAAACCTAAGGGATATGAATGCCACGCACATTTTGATCCATCAAATCCTGTTGTGATTATAACTCCATTTTTTTGAGTATGATTGAAATAACCCCGAAAGAAATCCTTCCTCTTTGGAAAAGAAAAACGAGTTTATTCATGATGCTCGTCATATTTTTAGATGAGAGGCCCATCAATTCATGTTTGATTAAAACTCCTTAACCGAGGCACTTTTTCTCAAAAGTTCTAAAAGTCGTCCACATAGTTTTTTTGTATTCTGGTTTGCCAACTCATCCCGTATAAAAACCGATGAATTTGATTTTAAATCGAAGACTCATTGATGGACCTCTAATCTGAAAATATGAGAATTTTCACATTTTCAGATAAAATCGTATTTTCAGATAATTTCTGTATAAAAACCGATGAATTTGAGTTTTAATCGACGTCTAATTGATTGACCTCTAATCTGGAAATATGAGAATTATCATATTTTCAGATTAAATCATATTTTCAGATAAAATCATATTTTTAGATAAAATCATATCTTCAGATAATATCATATTTTTAGATAAAATCACATTTTCAGATAAAATCATATTTTCAGATAGTTTCCGTATAAAAACCAATGAATTTGAGTTTTAATCGACGTCTAATTGATTGACCTCTAATCTGGAAATATGAGAATTATCATATTTTCAGATTAAATCATATTTTCAGATAAAATCATATTTTTAGATAATATCATATTTTCAGATAAAATCACATTTTCAGATAAAATCATATTTTCAGATAATTTCCGTATAAAAACCGATGAATTTGAGTTTTAATTGACGACTAATTGATGGACCTCTAATCTGAAAATATGAGAATTATAATATTTTCAGATAAATCACATTTTCAGATAAAATCATATTTTCAGATAAAATCATATTTTCAGATAAAATCATATTTTCAGATAAAATCATAATTTCGGATAATTTCCGTATAAAACCCGATGAATTTGAGTTTTAATTGACGACTAATTGATGGACCACTAATCTGAAATTATGAGAATTATCAATAAATTAATTATTGTTCAGAAAGGACGGATTTATTTTGGGTTATTTCCTAATCGAAAATGGAGTTATAATCAAAAACGATTTGATGGACCTCAAATATTAATATGTGCGTGGTAATTGGAATATCGTTGTTCATCCGAAAAAAATATGGATTCCTTCTGTAGTTTTATTTTTTATTTATTTTTCTCCGTATCACGTATTCAACTTGATCGTGAGGACACGCAATCAGAGTTGCTCAAGTGAATCTAAAATTCGTGTCGCGTGCAAAAAAAAAAAAAAAAAAAAAATTTACGATTCCTTACAATACCTCTTTCGTCGTAAATCCATTTTCTGAGTTGGAGAGTCTATATTGCTAGATTTTTGATCAATTCATTCATTCTATTAGTATCGTACTGCGTGATACAGTATCAGGAAAGATAGATTTCTTACAGTGTGAGCCACAAAAAAAACTTCTTCAATTAAATTTGAATAAATGAATGGATCAAATTGTAATTACTCGGGAGTTTCATTGGTGGGGATCGAAAAAACATTTCAAACATTCGTGTCTCCTGATTGATTGGAGCTAATACCTTTTAAAGAAGGCTTGTCAAAGATTTTGTGCGACAAATTGTTTTTCATCAAAATGATAGGAAAAATATCCGTTCTGAATACAGTCCTGAATAATTGGAGCTACTGCCTTTTAAAAAGGGGCCTGTCAAAGATAAAAAAACATTTTTCATCAAAAAACTCAAAAATGATGGAAAATTGGTCAATCAATCAAGGCTCGGGGGTCTTGTTTAGAACATTCCAGAAAGACGGATTGAAATTACAGTACGGTATACAGTATCAATAAACAGTCTACAGAAAATGTTTTTTTTATTTCAAAGACTATTCAAATTTCAAATTATATTTTTGGCAGTTATCTGAATATCCGAAATGTCGGTCCTGTCTTACGAAAATCGTTTTACACGGTGCAGATTGTAGAAAGTGAGCATTTTTCAAATGCGGAGGATAAATCTGCATCATTCTGATACAAATTTAGCAATTTGAAAGAAAAAATCTCTGTATTTCACTCAGTGACACTATTTAAAATTTTTGTACTTTTATTTGAGCTATTGCCGTTTAAAGAATGTGAGGAATGAATATAAACTTTACTTATAAATCAGTAGAAATAAAACACCTCAATCAGCCGAGCTGCGGCCGGGGTGAATTACACCCTAGTTCAATGTTGGTTTATTTCGGAGATGGAAAAAAGTACAAGTCCGAATCTTCCGAATAACACACAAGTCCAAAAATACCGCAGAAGATCGCCGAGAACACAACAACCGATGTTGTCAGCACGAATCGCACACTTCGAATGTCTGGTTTGAATTTAATTTAGTGACCAAGAAAACTATTACAGAAGGCCATTTAGAGATGGCCTTTCATAGATAAAACAGGAAGTGGGTGTCGCTCCTCGTGAACCAGGGAAGGGGATCCATGTTGTTTCGTGGCTCCTGCCCTGACTCACTCGTGAGTTGCTTCCCGTTGTCGTCGGAGATCGTTTGACTTTTTCGTTCCGTGTTGTGAATGTTTGTTCTCCTCCCTTTTTGATATGAATGAAACAGTGATTAGAGTTCTAGAGTTAGGTTATTCTTGGTTAAAAGGTGAGCTGGCCAGGCTCTAAAGATAAAAAAGGTTTTCAATACTTCCTCGTCGACGTTTGGATGGCAGTGTCGTAGTTCTTCAGATCTGTTTCCTTGTAGGCTAGCTTTCTCGATAGTTTTAACCCATAGGTTTTTTCCCTTTTTGATGTTTGGCCACCAAACCACCAAAGAACCATAGATAGTGCGCAATAGAGTGTAACCGGTCTTTTTATATTCCAAACCATTAGTTTCGATACGGAATTTTCCTCCACCCATTGAGTGTGATAGTTTTTTCTTTCTTTAAATGTTTTTTTTTTTAAAGAAGAAAGAGATCCGTCTTTCCGTACCGAGTTGAATTAGATTTTAGATTCCATACCGCTGGGGTTATTATTCCCACAGTTTTTCAATTCTCAGATTGTTGTTTCCGTCTACAGATTTTCAACTGTAGTTTTCCGATAGAATCTCTGTAAACAGGATTTCACCCAGTCGATTTTCCATCCGCCAAATTTGTTGTTCACGACCATTCCAATAGGATCTGTGTAAATAGGATTCCACCCAGTAGATTTTCCATCCACCAAATTTGTTATTCACGACCGTTTTCATCCTATAGGATTCCAATATTCCCTAAGAATCGGGTTTCTAATCCAATAATTTCCGCTAGAATAGGATTCAATCAAAACAGTATGTTTGATCCCGGTTGATTCTTCCCGAGTGTCCGAATTTTTTGGTGCAGAACTTGTCTGATGAGATCGATTTTCGTTTTCAGATTGAATTTCAAATTTATCGTGTGAATCTTTGTCGAAAGAATGGCGGGAGTGTCTTCATCTCAAGAAGGTAAGTTTTGTCAGAAAAATAACAAAAGTTCTCTCAAAGTTTCATTTTATTTGTTTTTTGCATTACTTTCCAGTTGACAGGGCTTCTGAACCCAACTCGAGTGCTGATCTAGATGACAAACCCATACTAATCATTGATGAGGAAGAGGCAGTTATGGATGCAGTCGAACCATTCCCAGCGCAGATCAATCTTCCCTTCTCGTTGGGGGAAAGAGCAAAGGAATTGGAAGAACTCGGTCAACAGGAGTGGGAACAACTACTCGATCTGGCGAAGATTGTAAAAAATCGGTCAATTGTCGAGATTGCTAAACTTGGACTGGAAGCCAAAGTTAAACAAGTGGAGGAGAAATCTACAAGAAAGCAAGCTCGTTTGGAGGTATTACGTTCCGAGGTTCATGATTTGGAGGAACGCCGAAACACTATGGAGAAAAAACGGAAGGTAGCTGATCTGAACAGAGTTATGGCCTCGTTAGCTTCAAAAGAGGCTGACGTGAGTCATTTGGAGTTTTTAAATGCCATGAGGCGACGAGTCTCTGGTGATTTGGCTACGACGTTATTACG